CATTTGGGAATAAAGAAAACGCTGGCAAGGATAAGACAGAAGTATACTAAAAGGATAAAGAAACGCAGGGTGAACTTTAAACCAGAAATTAAGTACGATATCGGGCTTTATTTAAAACGAAATTTTGTATAATTACAGATAATTTAAAACATAAAAATTTCCAAAGTCTGTATTTTGCATTTGACAATTGGTTTAGAGGTACTAACGATTAAATTGAATGGACCTATAGGATTTTGAAATTGAAATTGAACTGAGTCATCAATATCTTGTGTTTCCGCCGTTTGCTGTGTTCACGGCCCTTATTCTTCTGGTCATAGAGTTCATGAGAGCGTTAATCCGTCTTATGGGGATGTTGTCCCACTCTTCAATCAGAGCTCTGGTCAACTGCTCTCGAGTAGCAGGGGGTGGCTGGCGCTTTCGAACCTGTCTATCCAACTGGTCCCAAAGATGCTCGATCGGGGACAAATCGGGGCTTTATGGCGGCCAATCTAGTGGTTGAATGTTGTTGTTGGCCAGAAAGACTTGGCAAATCCTTGCTACGTGGGGCCTAGCATTATCCTGCTGGAGGATTAGATTATGCTGCTGTAAGAAAGGGATAACATGGGTCGGAGGATCTCATCTCTATACTTAGCTACTGTTAAATTGCCATCAATAACAACCAATTGTGATTTTAACCAGTGTGAGATTCCTCCCCACACCATTACTGAACCGCCCCCAAGCCTATCCCTCTCTACAACGCAAGCTTCCGTAAAACGTTCGCCACGACGTCGGTAGACACGTTGACGGCCGTCAGATCGATAAAGACAGAATCGAGACTCGTCCGTGAAGAAACCTTTTCTCCACTGCCTCAGTGGAAACCGTCGTGGAGCATGTGCAGCGACCCAGGCCATACGACGCTGACGTCGAGCAGGGATAAGGTGTGGACCTATGTAGGGGCGACGTGCTCTTACACCAACTTCTCGTAATCGATTCCTTACAGTTTTTGAACTTATAGAACGCCCATGATTTCCACGAACATTAAGTGCAATCTCAACGGCAGTAAGGCGCCGATTACGCACATGAGACACGACGATATAGCGATCCTGACGTCGTGACGTTACGCACGGACGTCATGACCTAGGTCAATCGGCCAATCGCCCAGTTTCCCGAAGACGTCTTACAAGACGTTCTATGGTGGAAACATTAAGACCAAAGTGCCTAGCAACCTGATTTTGCAACTGTCCTTGCATCAGCATCTGAATGGCCTGACCCCTCTGAACTTCTGTGAGTCGTGCCATTCTTAAAACGAATCAAACTCTTAATTAATTTTAGGGAAGCAGTTGGTCTGTATAAAGACTAACGAAGAGTGACTTGACCAACGCTGCATGAGACCAGAACAACACGGTGCACGAGATTCTTGTTTTTCCTTCCTTCATTTACCAGAGCTGCGCACTGTACCGTGACTTAATTTTCGATACATGACAAGGTGTAATATGACCTAATTACTCAATCCACAAAGTTTTACTTTAGTTGGATAACGCGTTTTCAAAATATCGGGATAAATATTACCCTGCGTATCTTTATCCGTTCAGTATACTATTGGCCGGGAATGGTGCCAGATGTTAAGAGCTACGTATTAGGTTGTCCAGAATGCAACAAGCGGAAGAATCCCCTGCAAAGCAAGAAAGCTCCTATGCAAGTTGTGGAGAAGGGGTATCCCATTGAGAGGAGAGCCATTGACATTCTATGCGACTTACCTTCCACTAATGATGGCAACAAGCACATTCTAGTGATCGCAGATTACTACACAAAGTGGACAGGGTGTTTTGCGATGCCAAATATGGAGGCAGCTACAGTGGCAAGGATCATAGTGGAGGAGGTAATTTGCAGATTTGGCGTACCCACTGTTATTCATTCAGACCAAGGCGCACAATTTGAAAGTGGTCTGTTTCAAGAAATGTGTGCGCTCCTCCAGATCAATAAAACGCGCACCACGCCATACCACCCACAGTCGGATGGCAAAACACTTGTCACCATGCTGAGCACATTTGTTAACAATCACCAGACAGACTGGGATGAGCATCTCCCGTACGTGATGATGGCGTATCGTTCAACAGAGCAGGAAACCACCAAACATTCTCCTAATCGAATGATGCTGGGAAGAGAGACCAGCACTCCACTTGATATTCAGTTCGAAATGCCACTACAAATGCAGAGCATTCCGCAGAACAGATGGGCTTGGCAGCTGAAGGAGCGGTTGGAGGAAGCCCATCATCATGTGCGACAAAACATCAAGGGAGCCATGAACCGTCAAAAGAAATATCATGACAGGAAGCTGGCGTGGACAGAGTTTAAGTTGGGAGACTTCGTGTATATGTTCTTCCCAAACGTACGCCAAGGCAAAACACCGAAGCTTGCAAGTAGGTGGCAAGGACCGTTCAAGGTAATAGCGAAAACCAGTGATGTCACCTACAAAGTTAAATGTGGATACAAGAGACGGATGCAAGTCATTCATGTCGACAGAATATGAAAGAAGCATCCACAAGTTCTGACTAGTGAATAATTGGATGCAGTGTCGGAACAGCGAGATGCTCAGACACATGTGACCGAAGCCAATCTTGATGGAATCCAGTTGACAAAGGAACCCGAAGCAGAATGTATGGTGCCCGAGGAAGAAGACTTTGAGAAAGATCTAGACAAAAGAACAAGACCTAAACGCCAAGTTAGGCTTCCAAAGAGGTTTGCAGATTACACGTCCGTTTACAGTTGTAAGAAGACATGATGCCTAGCGGCAAACACCACGTCAACAGAGACTATAGGACGGACTGCCATATTGTATATTTGTAAAAAATTAAGTAGCATGGGTTTTTTTTTATTATTAGCTTACTTGTGACACAGATGCGCGAGGACGCTTGGCCGGAGGCGTGGGTAATGTGATGGAACTCGTGTGTAATGTTTAAGGTGCGGTGTTTGGCAGTAAAGACAAATTGCAATTTTTATATTGGGAGATGTCCTCGGCAATTCGGCCTCTCTGTCCGGCCACTAGTAATGTGAAACAGTCGTATATTTTCTCCTCCCATGGATCGACCGGAGGCCACCGCTACCGTGGTGTGTCTGGCCTTCTGTTCTGGTCGTTTTGAGAAGGTTAGGAACCAAGCTAGTTATAACAAATGCTGACGACTTGTCTTATAGTACGGATGGGAAGTCGCCCTCTGGTTAACGCGGAGTCAGGTTTTTCTCTAACAGGGGAGTTTGGTTGTGTGTCGCGTAAGAGAACGGACGGGTTTTCTTTTCCCTTTTTCACTGCCATATTTTGTAGACGGTTTGACCGTTGTAATATAATTACATTTCTATTTTCATCGTATACCCAAATATACATTCAGTAAGGACGCTAGCGGGGAGCACCAAGGGAGTTTATATATGACAAACTCGAGCAGGAAGGGAGCTCAAGGGTCAGCACACATGCAGTCCTGTGTATGCTGTGTGGCTAGTGTGTGAATCTGGGTATAGGTGGAATAGTGTAGACGTAAGGAGTACGTGACAATTGTCGGTGTTTATATTCTCGTGGTGGTAAGGGTGTAAGGTATCTCGGTCTAGTAAACACATGGGCATAAGTAGTTTGGCTGTAGACGGTAACGGAACACTAGTTGGGCTGTCTGTCACGCTTTCAACAAGTAGGCGCACTGTAGGTTTTGTTGAATTGTTATTTTCTGTTCCCCTATATATCTAAATTAGCTCTTTATTCTCTTTAAGTGTTACTCTTTTCCTGTAGGCCTAGATATTTCTCAGTACAGGTTGTACGTGATCACGGAAAGTGATTGCTCAGACAAGGTCAAGGTCACGTGGACCTGGTCAGTCGACTGCTACATCGCTCCTGTGAAATAGCTATTTCTTATATTTATACAGTAGACGTTGAGATCCAATTCTTCGACATGATCTAGATAAAAGTGTAATCTGGACTTGTGTGTAAGGATCTTGAGTTTCATTCAGCGGAAAATGTATAGTTTGTGATAAACAGTTTTTGACATGGATTGAGCCCCTCGACTGACCACTACTCAGCACTAGCCTTTATACGTATAATGCATACCTGACCGAACCTTTGTGTTGGCAGACTTAGCACACTCTATTCGGAATTGTATAGTTACATATGTTATACCCTTGTATTCTGAATCATGCCAGCAAGTAGTAAACCGTCTCGTGGCCAGAGTGTGTCCAGCCAAAGGACCAGTGCTATTGGAGCAAATTTGAACCTCTCGGTGAAATCTACAGATGATCGACTTGATAAAATTTCTTTCATGCTAAATTCGGTGGTTACAGAAGATGGCTTGGACAAAAAACTTGAAAAACTTCGTCTTGATATTCAGAAGGAACATGCCGAACGTATCGAGGAGTTGGAGAACAGAGTATTAGATCTGGAGAGAGACAATGAAGATTTGAGACAGACAGTGGCGAGTGTGATAATGCGAAGGACCGACATACGGAGATTTTAGGAAGATTCAACGATCTAGAACAGCAGGGACGCAAGAATTCCATCAGGATGTTGGGACTGAACGACCCCGGGGAAAAAGAATCGGTCGAGGATTGTGTACAGGCGGTCGTAGGTTTCGCGCGTGAGAATTTAAAGGTGCAAGTTCGGGAGTCCAAAGAAGCCTTCTGGTATACTTCAGGTGAGTCAAGTTTATTTTAATTGTATTACATAGAATATGCTTATTTTTAATATCGAAACTCAGTTTAAATGGATCTGAATTATTATTTGTATTATTTTTATCTTTATCATTACTATTGATTTTTGATTTATCATAATGTATGTAAATATTTATTATTTTTGAGTTATTGTAAGATTTTATTAACGTAAACGTCAGATTTATATTGTACTTTTAATTTGATGATTTTAGATTATTTATTTCATCCATATCCCGTTTCGTCCGGAAATCCATTCCTTTCCGGAATCGGTTCTAATTTTATATGTACATGTTATATTTCCGGATTGGTTATCGCGAAGTTTTAGAAGAATGCAAATCAGTTATATTTGCGAGAATTTGACTAAATACTCATCATTATTTATAAGGGAGTATATTATTCAAAAAAATGTGTTATATGGTTTACAACCCGAGAACTAGCCGCAGGCTAGTGATCGAAATGAATGGTTAATTTCAGTATCATTCTCATACACTGTAACGTATGCCTAATATGTTAGGCGTATATCCAAAATAATTCTAGGTGTAATATTGATATCATCTAAGCGTTATGCACTTATGTATGTCCATTTAGTTTCATTTTAGGTATTGTGAAATTTATTTGTAAATTTTATTGTGTCACTTTGGGCGCAGCATTTGATGAATAAAGATTGATATTTGGAAACTCAAAGAAGCCTTCTGGTATACTTCAGGTTACAGAACCCAGCAGAAACCCTTATAACAATTGGTGTGGAATCAACGATCCTTTTAGAAACCTCAACAGATGTCAACACCTATCAACGACATCTGATCAAGATTGCAAAGCGAGTATTGGCTTCGAAGTAGAGATCAGCCAACTTTCTCCAGAAATTCAACGTCTGAGCAGCCCACATTGGAGCATGATCAACTAATTGATAGACATTCAAAGCAAGGTATGGCTTCAATTGGACATAGTGTGTCCATAGGGAAATTTTCAGGTGCAAAGGATGAAGATCCTGTTGCTTTCATCACTAGGTACAAAAATTATTTGACTTTGGTGCAGGCAAAAGATGAGCAAAAGGCCCCATTATTTGCACTCAGCTTAACCAACAACTCTAGTGCTTATCAGTGGTTTGATGGACTTGATGACACAATCAAGACAGATGTTACGAAACTAGAAAAAGCATTTTTAGAACGATTCTCCACACAACAATATTTCAGATGGTCGAGTGTAAGAGAGGTAAACCAAATGTGTCAGGGTTATATGCAACCAGTACTAGACTACATTCAAAATGTGAGGTACAAAGGCAAAATTGCCAAAATGTCTGAAACACAAATTTTTGCCATTTTAGGGGGGTTGAGGCCAGAGATCCGTTCCTCAGTTATTCAAAAAGAACCGGTAGATTTAGACCAGCTAATTAAGGTCGCAGAGTTAGCTGAGGTAGCTATTATAGGTGCAGGAAATACCCCTACAAAAACAGAACCACAAAGTGATATCGCATCACTAGTACTAGATAAAATAGACGCGTTGGCAACAGATATGAGAACAATTAGGGCAGAAGTAAATGTCATTAAGTCTAGCAAGACTGCATTCTCACATCCTCACAAACAGAACAATAGGTTGAACAACAAAAACAACACACATGCGCATAGGTCAGATAACCATACAAACACTTCAACATGTGGTAGGTGTGGCTCTAGGTATCACACCCAGGATAGAGAATGTCCTGCATTTGTCAAAAAGATGAAGTGTCACAAGTGTGGCAAGATTGGTCACTTTAAGGGTCTTTGTAAACAGAAAGATAGGTCTGACCAATAGGATTTTTCGCCTAGTAAGGTTAAAGGGGTTCCCTTGCCCAGGCCTAAAACATTAAGTCCTTGTTTTTCTACAGAGCGTAGGGATAACTTTGTAGATATAACTTTTTCTAAATCAAATATTGTTACTAGTGCGCTAGTTGACACAGGGGCTAGTGTAAGTTGTCTAACAAAATCCCTCTTTCATAAGATAAATCCTAAGGGAAACCTAGAACCTTCAGATATTGAACATGTATATGGTGTAGGTGGCAATATACATAAAATTGAAGGATGTGCTACATTATCTTTTAGTTTGGGTAAAAAAGAAGTTAAGCAGAAGTTTTATGTGTTTTCAAGATTACACCAACAAGTCATATTAGGGATGGACTTTTTAGGGAAGTACAAAGGAACTGTGAGTGTGGGAGACAAAAAGATGTCTATATTTGTAGGGTCAGCTTTAGTAGAGTGTAAGACCCATTCTATATTTAATGTCAGGGTAGCTAGAGTAAATACTACCATTACTGTCCAGCCACAGGAGCAGGTACTAATCCCAGTAAAGTTGTCCAGAATCCCAGAAGATACAGTTGCAATACTTGAACCAGTAGTAGACTTGTATAAGAATACTAAACTAGTTGGTGGTAAAGTAATAGTTACTTGTAGGAAGGGAAAATCTGTTTGTATGCTTCTAAACCCAAATAACATACCTGTATGTATTCAAGCTGGCACAATCATTGGTAAGTTATTACCCATAGATACAAGCTCAATCTCAGAGTTACAGGAGCCAAAACCATCTAAGCAAGATGCAGGTAAGATTGAACCTTCAGTGTGTAGCATAAGTTCAGAAGACAGTGCTAAATTGCTAGCTACAGCTCAATCATTAGGTATTCTCTTAGATGCTGCTGACCTCACTCAGGATCAGAAAGTTCAGTTGTTACATTTTATAGGAAAGAATAGGGATGTATTTGCAGTGAGTATAGAGGAACTAGGGTGTACAGATGTACATTATCATAGAATAGAGACAGGCGATGCTCCACCACATAGACAAAGAATGTCTAGCATTAGTAGAAGCAGTACAAGTATATCACCCATATCTTGCAAATAGACATTTTAATGTTTACACAGGCAATTTAGCTCTCAAGTATCTAAAAAACATAAAGGACAAGCAAGGAAGACTAGGTAGGTGGGCATTGAAAATACAGGGCTATGACTTTACTATTCACCACAAGCCAGATGTTAAGAACCAAAATGCAGATGCCTTATCTCGACGCACTTATAATCAGCTAGGTAAAGAGGTAAGTACAATTACCAAACATGCAGACCCAGCTATTCTGAATCCAATTGCAGAATCTTTAGTTCAACACACTGTTGACACTGATATCTCAGGTGAGTGGGTCCAAGTACACTTTAAGGATGCTGACAGGTTACAATCAGTACCCACACAGTGTTAGAGGTAAGTGCACCTGAACCAGATGAGGACTTAGCCTTAGACTTGGAGGACATACAACCCAAGGGTCCTCTTGACATCAACAATGTTAAAACACAAGAGCTTATCAAACAACAGAGAAGTGATGACAGTTTTAAAGCTATTGTAGATTTTAAGCTATCAGAAATATTACCTGAGGATAAAAACAAAGCAAGATGTATAGTAGCTCAGTCTCATTCCTTTGAGATTGATCACCAGGGTGTGCTGTATCATATCTGGAACCAAAGGACTACAGGTGTCAAGGGTCGAATCAGGTTTGTTAAACGGCTAGCTGTACCAACAGCTTACAGACAGAACATTATACAAGCCTTTCATGACAGTCATGCTGGAGGAGTACACATGGGTATTAATCGTACTCATGGTGCACTCAAACTCAGGTACTATTGGCCCTCTATGTTTGTAGATGTGGAGACATATGTTAAGTCTTGTATAATCTGTCAAACATGCAAACGAGTCTACAACAAAGGTAAGGTACCACTAACACCATTACCAGTTGCAGGAAAATTTGAGAGATGGCACATGGACATATTACGTCCACTGCCTGCCAGTAAAGAAAAGTATGTCTATATTTTTTGTTAGTAGTAGACAGTTTTTCGCAATGGTGTGAGACTCATCCTTTACGTAGTCAAGAGTCATCAGAAGTTGCCAGGGTGTTATATAAGGAAATCTTTACAAGGTATGGTTGTCCCACAACACTTGTTTGAGACCGAGGCAAAAACTTCATGGGTAAGTTGATCTCAGCGTTATGTGAGTTGTTCAATGTAGGTCGGTCACACACTAGTTCTTACCATCCTCAAACAAATTCTGTTGTTGAAAGAACAAACAGTACTTTGGCAGCAAATTTAAGGACATGTTGTGAAGGAGACCAGACTAGTTGGCCAGACAAGTTGCCAGGGATTATGATGGCCTATAGAATGACTCCCAGTACAGAAGCCTCAGAATTCTCCCCATCTTATATTGCATTTGGTATGGAGATGAGAATGGTTGTAGATACTGAGCTTATACCCAAGGACTCTGTTGGAAGGATCCAGAAACAGGTATTACATGAGATCATAGAAAACACCAAGTTAGCTGAAAAGATAGCAAAAGAGAATATAGAACTCAGGAAAGTTAAGCTGAAACATGACCATGATAAAAAGGCAAAAGAGCCAGATTTTCAGGTGGGTGATAAAGTTCTGTTATCTGATCCTCATTTAAAGAAAGGTGAGTCTTCAAAGCTCCATAAAAAGTATAAAGGACCTTACACTATTGTAAGATTGGGACCAAATTATACTTACAAACTCAGGAACAATGAAACAGGTAAGTTGGTAGAATCTCTTGTCAATGCTACAAGACTTAAACATTTTCTTGAGGTAGATCACAGGTTCAGGACTCAACAAGAGGAAAATCCACCTGTGGTTCCTTTAGATCCGCCTGTGGTGCCTTTAGATCCACCCATAGACCCCTCTCAATCACAAGACACTCCGCCTGATCCTTCTCAATCTGATAGATCTCAAGAAGAATATCCTATAGAGAAGATTCTAGGTAGTAGAGTTAGAGCAGGTGTGCAGCAATTTCGAGTAAAATGGTTAGGATATCCTGGTACAGAATGGATACCTAGTACAAATCTTAAACAAAAAGATGTAGATGAGTATAATAAAACACACACTAAAACAGGACGTAAAAGAAAAAGGACTTACTTTAGACGATAGAGGTATTAATTGACACAGCTTCAAACAAAGTTTAGATTTAATACAGGATCATAATTCACTCATTCACAGCTTATTTGCACAAAATATGGGTAGTTGTATAGGTAGTCTACATATCTCTGATAGGCTTAAATTTACTGCATGTAGGAAACATGTAGGATATAAGAGTAACTACTTTATTAAACATTTTATTATATTGAACATCTTGTTCAAGTAATATAGTTCACTTGCTGTTCAGATAATCAGTAAGTTCTTCCTATAGTGAGTACTCATTATCATGTTTTAGACCTTTATAAGGTGAACATATAAATAAGTGGTTGTGTCATCAGCACACTGCCTGTATAATTGGTTTAAGATATAACCAGTATAATTAAAGTAGTTAAGTGTAGCTCCAGAGAGGTTTCCTGAAATGTTGGCATGGTTATTAACAAATATCTGTTAATTTTTCACAGAAATCCCTTGTGAAAGTCATTAATAGAAAAGTTTTGGAAATATTTTTGATATTACCTATAATTTTTAGGCAATTTTATTTTTCTTGCCCGATGTTCCTATGGTTGTTAGTAGAGATCCCAATTGATTTTCTCATATGAGTTGTTTTATAGTGCTAGGGTGAATTGCAATAGCCCATGATTTTTACTATCAATTATATGAATACAGGTAGAATCGCGCGATATATAAATAAAAAAAAAAAATTTAAATTACATATATGGAAACATCACTAGCTATAGTCTAAAAACCTTTTCCATCTCTTTGTAGGTACACCAATCAAGATGTTTCCTCTAATTCTATTGGTACTTTCAATCGCCATGGCAAATGGGAATGTGGAAGAAAAGCCAAACATGAATGATAAAATTAAAGAACTTTTCAATTATGGTGTTACGTTTGAGGACAAGGGCACCTTGTATCCATCAGGAAATCACTGGAAACATTTCTTCGAAATCGAGTTACAGAAATTTCCATTTGTGTCTGAGAGACCTTCCCCATGTTCCAACTGTCCATGGTACAGTGAAGCAATGGAAGAAATTCTAGCTTTACACCGACAGACAGCAGTAGATGTAGGAACAATTTTGGGAGAAATCAAAACTCTTTTACCCCATCACTCTTTAGTAAGGATTCCAATGGCTAGGAAAAGAAGGTCATTTTTACCTTTTATCGGCTCATTAGCTAAAACATTGTTCGGAACAGCCACTAGTTCGGATTTAACTAGTCTTTCTAGGAATGTAGCGTTACTTAGGGCAAATCAACAGAAAATGGCTAAAGCTACATCTCATCAGATTGATATTTTCACTGCTGCAATCAGGAATTTTGACTATAGAATTGATAATGTTTTTCGAGGAATAACAGATAATCATGAGGCTATTCAACAGTTAGGTGAGAATTTTAATAATTCAATAATAACTAGTCAGGTAGCTCAAGCTAGGCTATTAGCAGCAATGACCAAACAGACTCGACTAGCATTAACAATACAAACTAGGTTTGAAGAATTATTAATGGGTGTATTAGCAACAATGCAAGGAAAATTATCTCCCTTGATTATACCACTTCACACCTTAACTAATGTTTTGTCCCACATGCAAAGTATTGTTCAACCACATGGATTTTATTTAACACACTCACACCCATCATTCTACTACAAACATGCAAAGTTCACTATTTTTCGTCGGTTTTCAAACATTCTAATTTCAGTACAATTTCCAATTACAACTGTTACATTGCAACTTTTCAAACTGAATACATTTCCGATTCCCCTTAATAAAACAACAAAACATGGTACACAACTACATACCTCGAAAGATCATCTATTGTTATCTCAAGATGGAAATCTGTTCAGTGAGGTATCTTCTAAAGATTTACAATCTTGTTCACAAAGTAATCATATTTGGCACTGCGACCAACATTACATTTTAAGAAATGATACACGCAGGTCACGCTTATTTAGTCTTTTTCATGGAAAGAAGTCAGATATTAATGATAATTGTATTTTTCATTTTGTTCAAGATATTATTCAACCATCTATCATCCAGCTTAATCACAGTCATTTAGTTTTGATTAATGTCTCGGATATTACTCTGACTTGTAAGAATAGTAAAACAGCTGAAAAAGGTTGTTCCTTTTGTATTATTGCTATTCCATGCAGATGTTCTCTTTCAAGTTCATCTATGTATATAGATCCATATTGGAATAGATGTAACAGCAACAAACTGCAAATGTTATTTCTAAAGTTCATGGAGATAACCTAATACTTCTTCAGCAATTTTTCAATTCCGCTTTGAAAGATATAAAACCAAATTCAACTTTTTCTCAAACATTAGCCATCCAATTACCACATTTCAAACTTTTTACACACAATTTTACAAACATAATTGAATCTGAGCAAAAAGCAAAACTGGATTTAAAGAAGGTGGCCATAGCGGCTAAGGAAAATAAAGTAATTTTTCAAAGATTATCAGAATCAATATTAGATTACCAAACTAATTTATCTCAGGGTGTAGATTTTACTTCAATCTTATCTTATATCTCAGCAGCATTAGCTTTTGTTAGCTTACTAGCTTTTGTATTTTTATTCTTGAAGTATAGAGCTTTAGTGACAACAGTAGCACTGCTTTCAAAAGCTAACAATGTACACAGCTCCATAATTCCACCAGTTTTTCATTACACTACAGCACCTACAATTACCACAACTACAACTTCATTAGACTTAACACCACATGTCTACTCAGCTTCAGGAGTACTTGGTACTTTATCAGTCATTGTTATGTTCATGTTTATCTTGTACAAGTTCTTCAAGAAAGATAAGTTTAAACTGGTTCTTGAACTCACAAACAACCAGGACACAGTTTTAATACCAGTGGTTAGTCTACCATATGCTCATGATAGTTTAACCTTCATGACTTCTTCTGCATTATCAGATTTCAAGGTCACATTTGGTGTCAGATCATATTTGGATATTGATTGGGCAAATTTCTCAATAGAAGATAGGAGCTTTGGTCGGAAATTCAGTATTCCTCCAAAAATATATTTAAATCCTCTGTTAGCATACAAAACAAATCGAATAATTAACACAACTTTTACTGCTTTATTATATAAGCAGCTAGGTAGAGTTATGTACCCTGTTAATATTGCATCTACAACTAAAACAGCTGCAGAGGTCAATACCAAACTCTATCCAGATATAGCTTCAGGGTGAATTTTTTTCACTTATTTCTACGTCCTGGCATAATCCCAATATACCTAGAAATGCATCAGCACACATGTATATATGAGTTGTACATATTTTCAACATTTTTTCATTCTTTAAGTATTTTTTATAATGATCTAATCCATTATTAATGATGGAACTATATAGCTACTTCAACATTAGAAGGTAATCTGCACTGGTATGCTTAAAACTTAGGTTAGTAAATTATTATACTTCCTCTATTTGGCCATCATACATCTATGGACAATAATTGGAGAATCAGAAGTGACTTATGCTTTTCATGTCAGAATTTGAATAGCACAAAATGTGAATGCCAATGGACATAGTACATTCAACATATATTCTCTGGATTGTGAATTCAACATATATTCTCTGGATTATGAATTCAACATATATTCTCTGGATTGTGAATTCAACATATATTCTCTGGATTGTGAATTCAACATATATTCTCTGGATTGTGAATTACACATTTATTCTCTAGTTTGTGCATTCAATGTCAATTCTCTGGATTTATAGTATGTACCTTGATGGACCCTTGCCTACCAGTATAGTGATGCTATGAAATATAGCAAAGAAAGAAAAAAAAAGGATTAATTCTACAATGGACACCAGACCATATCACAAGAATTAACTGATTGTGACTTTGTATAATTTTGTTTTATTTCCATGTAGTATGCTTTGTTTGACTTGTTTATTATATATTTCATATAGATACAATTCTACTTGTCATATTTTTGTAATATATATATATGTATGTACAAAACACATTTTTTTTTTTATAAAAAAAAAAAATAATTGTATCTGAATTCCGGAGGAATTCCTTTTTCTAAGTAGGGAGGAAATCTATCACGCCTTTTATCAAAGTTTTTTTGAATAAATTAAGTAAATTAATTTATCCAAATAAAAACTTTATATATTTTTATTTAAAGTAAAACTTTAATTTAGAAATAGAATTTTAAACTGTTCCATGTTACAAAATACTGTATTGTAAAAGAATGCGGAAAATACTTTAATTGTATAATTGTTAGGCTAGAATTAGTGGCTAGTTTATTTGTCAAGTTCTATTACAAAAGATGTCAGGTAAAGCTCAATTTAGATGTCTTGGCAGAGATTTTGTTCTATACAAAATTCTAAGATGTTGTTACAGCAATTCACTTATAGCTATTCGGAACAGTATTCATTTCTACAATCAAAGAAATTGTCAAACCAGTTTATATGGTTACTTGTTGACACCACCGTGTGTTACAATAGGCGTTAATTGAGCTAGGTATTATTGTAGACTTTACGCTTACGTTGGATTTACGTAGAGCAAATTATGACATGTATAGGACGCTTGTCATGCGCAGTTAGACTTAACGCTAATACCGGAGAAAAATATAACTTCTGATTGGATAGGTAATCAAGAATCGAAATTTGATTGGCTAATCTAACTTCTCACCATTTTGGGGTATACTAGTGTTTCCAAAGTTGAGCTGTATCACTTTGGGCGCAGCATTTGATGAATAAAGATTGATTTTTGGAAACTCAAAGAAGCCTTCTGGTATACTTCAGGTGAGTCAAGTTTATTTTAATTGTATTACATAGAATATGCTTATTTTTAATATCGAGACTCAGTTTAAATGGATCTGAATTATTATTTGTATTATTTTTATCTTTATCATTACTATTGATTTTTGATTTATCATAATGTATGTAAATATTTATTATTTTTGAGTTATTGTAAGATTTTATTAACGTAAACGTCAGATTTATATTGTACTTTTAATTTGATGATTTTAGATTATTTATTTCATTCATATCCCGTTTCGTCCGGAAATCCATTCCTTTCCGGAATCGGTTCTAGGGAGTATATTATTAAAAAAAATGTGTTATATGGTTTACAACCCGAGAACTAGCCGCAGGCTGGTGATCGAAATGAATGGTTAATTTCAGTATCATGCTCATACACTGTAACGTGTGCCTAATATGTTAGGCGTATATCCAAAATAATTCTAGGTGTAATATTGATATCATCTAAGCGTTATGCACTTATGTATGTCCATTTAGTTTCATTTTAGGTATTGTGAAATTTATTTGTAAATTTTATTGTGTCACTTTGGGCGCAGCATTTGATGAATAAAGATTGATATTTGGAAACTCAAAGAAGCCTTCTGGTATACTTCAGGTTACAGAACCCAGCAGAAACCCTTATAAAATATGTACAAACATACAAAATACAGTCGTTACTTTCCTCTGAAACATACAAAACGCAGTCGCTACTTTACTCTGAATCTATGTACAAACTGTACATACAAACATAGTAGCTACTTAACTCTGAATCTATGTACAAACATACAAAACGCTGTCGCTACTATACTCTGAATCTATGTACAAACATACAAAACGCTGTCGCTACTATACTCTAAATCTATGTACAAACATACAAAATACAGTCGTTACTTTCCTCTGAAACATACAAAACGCAGTCGCTACTTTACTCTGAATCTATGTACAAACTGTACATAAAAACGCAGTCGCTACTATACTCTGAATCTATGTACAAACATACAAAACGCTGTCGCTACTATACTCTGAATCTATGTACAAACATACAAAATACAGTCGTTACTTTCCTCTGAAACATACAAAACGCAGTCGCTACTTTACTCTGAATCTATGTACAAACTGTACATAAAAACGCAGTCGCTACTATACTCTGAATCTATGTACAAACATACAAAATACAGTCGTTACTTTCCTCTGAAACATACAAAACGCAGTCGCTACTTTACTCTGAATCTATGTACAAACTGTACATAAAAACGCAGTCGCTACTATACTCTGAATCTATGTAAAAACATACAAAATACAGTCGTTATTTCCTTTGAAACATACAAAACGCAGTCGTCACTTTATTCTGAATCTATATACAAAATGTACATACAAACAGAGTAGCTACTTAACTCTGAATCTATGTACAAACATACAAAATGAAGTCGTTACTTTACTCTGAATCTATGTACAAACTGTACATACAAAACGCAGTCGGAGCTTTACTCTGAATCTATGTAAAAAGATACAAAACGCTGTCGCTACTTTACTCTGCATCTATGTACAAATTGTACATACAAAACGCAGTCGCTACTATACTCTGAATCTATGTACAAACATACAAAATACAGTCGCTACTTTACTCTGAATCTATGTACAAAGTGTACATACAAACGCAGTCGTTACTGTACACTGAATCTACGTACAAACATACAAAACGCAGTCGCTATTTTACTCTGAATCTATGTACAAACATACAGAACGCAGTCACTATTTTACTCTCAATATATGTACAAACATACAAACGCTTTCGTTACTTTACACTGAATCTACTCTGAATCTATGTACAAACATACAAACGCTTTCGCTACTTTACACTGAATCTATGTACAAACATACAAAATGCAGTCGCTATTTTACTCTGAATATATGTACAAAAATACAAAACGCAGTCGCTACTTTACTCTGAATCTATCTCCCTAGATCAAGTTTCATGTTACAAAGTGTTACACTGTTATCCCTTCCCTGTCTATTGCGTGATCTTATTATAGGAGGTCCTTTCTTGAGCCCTTTCGGCAGTATACTTCAGTATGGTAACACTACAAAATCTATTTCAGTTTTTGCCATATCTCACGGAGGCTTACTTTAGCAAATTACACCGGGAAGCCTTCATTAGATGGCCCCGACTGTTCATAGGACTTAAAGCAATAAAACAAACATAGGGCTACCACGTGACAAATTATGGGTAACAATGTAGTATACCTGATAACACTGTAACACAACACCGCATCAGAAAATTACACAATAATAATAATGGTTATCACTGTGTTCACAACATGGAATTACAAGGTACAACAAGAGTGTTTATCAAAATACAACAAGACGTCACACGGAAGTTGTGTGTTTCCTAGGTCTTCATCTGGCTAGGCAAATGAGTGGATATTACCAAACAAATGAATCTAAGCCTGGAAAACGATCATCCGGCTACTGTCAAAGTTTTCCTTTCAATTCAATTAATTTTGTCTTGTCGTTGGTACTCATTTTGTTGTATTATACTCTTTTCTCGGTGACAAACAGGAAACATTTACACAAGATGTTTGTTTCGTCACTTTAGAAACATGAAATTGGAGTGTTATTACCTCTACTGTTTTGGAGGACGATATTGTCAAAGGGTCTGGTAACACTGGATTGAGACATGTCACCCAACAGCAGCTGCATGGTTATTATGATCATTCCAAGACAAAATATCATTATATGTATGACACAGTATTTTGATTACGTCTTGTCGTCTATAAATCAGAAGATATCCCGGAATACCTGGTTCGATTATCCTTGTACTTTTTCAGGAGTCGCCTTGTAATACTTTTTTTTGTTCGTATTTTTATTGAATTTGAGATTGGAATATGGTTGTGTTGACATCTTTTTATTTGGCTTTGGTTTTTTTCCAGTTGCGTGTATTCCCGTTTTTCTTTTCTGCTGTTTGTTTCGTTTCATTTTTCGATTTGAGGTCCCTTATAATCATTAGATCTAAATTTCTAACTGTATTTTTATTCATATATTTGATTTCACGTTTCAGTGATATTAAATATACAAGACATGAAAGTTATATTTGTCCTCGAGATTATAGTTACGATAACCACCGTTTACATCTGTGTTGTGTTTGTAAACTTACACTCAACCAGGTGCATCTTCTAGTTACGATGTAATCAGAACTATGGTGTTTCATTACATATTTGATAAAATATTCTTATTAAGACGACAGAAATATTGAGCCTCGTTACGCAATAAACAACGATATGGGATTACTTTCATGTCATAGTTCACATTTTAAAAGATTCAGATTCAGGGTGGGACTAATGCGGACAAAAGTATACCCCCAACCTCACCCTGCTAATTAGGATTTCTTTGTTTACATTGACAAATATAAAAAATATCACGTCTTTCTATCATTTCAGAAAAATGAAGTTGTTCGCTGTGTTGTTAGCTCTCCTGTTTTGTGAGATAAGATTATCAGAGGGTCTGCTGGCACCGGATTCGACACATGCCGACCAACAAAAGGACGATGGTGATGAAGATTAATCTAAGTCAAGACCTAATTCGTATGACAGCAGTGTCTATAGGATTTCATACTTTATCCCTAATAGATAAACCAATTTGGAAAAGATCTTAAACACCTATTCACATTACATACTGAATCAGTATGAAACTTCCAAAAAATAAACCAAAAAATTAAAACCTCTTCGTGTTGTCTTTAAATAAAAAATTTAAAAACAATTACATGGAATGCTAATTCTGAATTTCTACAAAAATGTCATCTTCATGACACAATACTACTAACACTACACTGGGTTACACAAATGAGCAAATGATTATATTGTAACACAAGAGAGACTGTAGTACGAGTGGTTATATTGTAATACAACAGTGATAGACTGTAGTACGAAGGGTTATATTGTAAAACAACAGTGATAGACTGTAGTACGAGGGGTTATATTGTAACACAACAGTGATAGACTGTAGTAAGATGTGTTGTAACAAAACTGTATAGACGGGTAATACGAGGGGTTATATTTTAACACAACAGTGATAGACTGCAGTACGCAGTGTTATGTTGTAACAAAACTGTGATAGACTGTAGTACGAGGTGTTATATTGTAACACAACGGTGGTAGACTGTAGAACGAGGTGTTATATTGTGACAACAGTGATAGACTGTAGTACGAGCTGTTATATTGTAACACAACAGTGATAGACTGCAGTACGCAGTGTTACATTGTAACAAAACTGTGATAGACGGGTAATACGAGGGGTTAAAAT